AGGAATATATATAATATATGTGTTCGTATCTATGTATGTCCTTACATGTATGTTGTTGATATTACTCACAAATGTGAGATAGAATATTTTTGTTTGTATAAATTTTCTTTTTTGGACTATTATATATATATATAGATATATTTATGTATATATATATATGTAAATGTATATAAATAAGTATGTGGAATATATCTAATATATGTGTTTGTATATATGTATGTCTATACATGTTTATTGTTGATATTACACACAAATGTGAGATAGAATATGTTTGTTTATATAAATTTCCTTTTTGTGAACTATTTATATATTCAAACCCGATTCAGTGATATGTGCGCTTGCTTGGGACAAAATACATTGTACAATTTTTATACTTGCACCTGCACACAATTGTCAAGGCTTTGTTGTGCTTCTATCGCATTTATTCATATGGAGTTAAACACCGTATGCATATGGATTGTATCTCATCTACATTTCTTCTTCAACTTCTTCGTCGATTATGATTGTGATTAGTTGACTGTTGTGCACTTGTTGTTCCATGATTTATCTGTGAAATTCTCAGAGTACGTGTTATTTCCTGATGCTCATATTTCCTCGTGTTATTTCCTCTTTTTATTCGAACGAATTTTGATATTCTTCATTGTACGACTTACAGTAGCCTTTTGTGATTTTCATCGACACCAAGCACAGCACTCAGTCTATAGATTCTCTGCGAGACTATATATTCGCACCCACACAGGCGAACGGCCATAAAAGTGTGACTATCCCGGCTGCGGTAAAACCTCAAAACAAAAAGTCTATTCGTTATCATACAGGGGAAAGGCCGATGTTAGACGCAATAGAGCCTTCGCACGACCTACGGCCACGGTCCGGGTCGGCTGATTTATAAACATGTAAGATATATGCTCGCTCACATCGGAAACGGTATTTGTTATATTTGTGAATGCCAAAGTTGTCGCAGTGCCTTTGTGGATATACACGCGGGTGAATGACCTACCTTCCCAGTGTCCCGGGGTGTGATGCTCGATATCATGTCGCACCAAGCACATGCTCTGCAATACACAAAAGCTAACTCTAGCCAAGGAACTGAAAATTGGAATTATGTTGCTTTTTTTCAAATAACCCCAATCTGAATCTAAAATACGATATTTGTTTACATTTTGCTTATTTGCAAATTTACTTTTGACTCTGGGCTTTCTTTTGTGCTTTTTGTATTTTTTTATTATAGTTTGTTTTTGTTTTTGTTTTTGTTTTTGTTTTTGTTTTTGTTTTTGTTTTTGTTTTTGTTTTTGTTTTTGTTTTTGTTTTTGTTTTTGTTTTTGTTTTGTTTTTGTTTTTGTTTTTGTTTTTTGTTTTAATAACAAACCCAAAAAACCATTGTGGTATTTTTGTAAATACAATTTGATTTTGTTTTTTTAAATATTTATTGTCAGTCTTTGTTTATTTATGTATTTTTATGGGTTTTTTGTTTTATTTATTGGTCGTGTTGTCTGATTTTCGAACTCTATGGTCGTATTTGCTGTATTTTAATAATAAAAACCAAACCAAAATAAAATACAAAAAAAAGAATCATGATGGTTGATGAATGATCAATGATGTTGCCTGTTACGGTGTTATGTACTCTTTGTCACTGATGACTACTGATACGGCCCTATTTCAGCCAATCAAAAGTGTAAATAGCCGCTAGTAGGCTGAGCTTGCAATCAAGCATGATCAACTCAACAACCTACCGTGTCAATCAACCACCAGACGCGACTATCGTACTTCCTATATAAAGCTCCCTGGAAATTATCGTACAATACAACAATCATTTGATACAGCTAATTCGCCGGTAGACATGGATTGTTGATGGCATCCATCAATTCATTTTTGCACGCAAGACAATATCATGCAATATTGGGCTTTACTTCCAATCGAGTACAGGATGATTGACCTGATACAAAAGGGAAATCCCTGTCGACGCGTGTAGTCACTTATTCTTCTACCGACTAATTTATTGGGTATTTACGTACGTAAATCAATCAAACATCATGGATACTACTCAGTTCAGAAATAAGACCGCAATTCGCGCGTATATTGCCGAGTTCCTCGGCACGATGTTTCTTCTCTTCGCTGGTGTGGGTACCGCATGCAGCTCCGCTTATGCCTCACGCTCACACGTACGCGATGACAGTTTTATGGCAACCGACATGGCAACCGACATGGTAACTAACATGGCAATTAATATCGCGTTTGACCCTGATCTTCCCATGGTGCTTACCATCGCTTTTGCATTTGGTATGGCCTTCATGGTTCTTGTGTATGGCACCACTCACATCTCGGGCGGACACCTCAACCCGGCCATTACGCTGAGCATGGTTATCTTCCGAGAGATCGACCCTCTCCGTGGTGTGCTATACATAGTCTCTCAAGTGCTTGGGGCGAGCGTCGGTGTGCTCCTGGTACACCTTATGTGGCCTTCAGCTGTCAGTGCCACTGTAGGTCTGAGTGCCAATGCGGTTATTCCCGCACTATCACTTGCCCAGGCATTCTTCCTCGAGTTCTTCGGCACGGCGCTGTTATGCTTTACCTTTTTCAACACTTCCGTCGATCCTCACGGTCAGTTCCGCTGATTGTTGTATACATGTTGAATTTTATAGATGCAGATTGTCGTTCACATTTTAAGCTTCTGTGTTCCAAGGTATCAACTCACCCTCTTTCGCCCAAGAAACCAACGAATCCACTCCTTGCTCATACAATACATATATTTGTCATTTAAATATTCGTTGCAGGCATTAACTTTAACACCAACTTGGCGCCACTGGCCATTGGATTCTCGGTATTTTTGGCCCACGTTGTGCTCATTCCCTTGACTGGTTGTGGAATTAATCCAGCTCGGACGTTTGGTGCTGCTCTGATCAGTGGCAATTGGAATCATCACTGGCTGTTCTGGATTGCGGTATGTTTCTAGAGATTGTCATACTTTCTACATTTGTGAGATCGGCACACTGCCATCAATCGCAATATTCAACCAATCCGCCACCTAATCTTCATAGAATACAATTTGCTATCTCGTTCTATTTGTGGTGAAGGGGACGCAAGTATAGTGAACACTTTACACGGCATTTACACATGTGACAGACAAAATGTAGTACATCAAAAAGGATGGATTCGTATATCGTTTGTAGCTGACCTTTTTATTTTCAAAATATCGCAAGTAGTTTGTTTCCCCTATTTAATATTTATGGTACATATTTCCGAATTTACCTCATTTGACCTATCGCAACGATCCAAGAAACCAAAGGAATACTCAATGTTTGTCTTCCCACCCTATACAGGCGTTGATTGGTGGTCCGTGTGGCGCTGCCTTGAACTACTTTCCCTATCGATTCCTATACGAAGCTAAGCAAAAGACTGAGGAAGAGACCTCTCTCATTGGCTGATATTATTCGAAGCTATTCAAGCATATCGTACATAGTGTACACAGCAACTTGTTTGATGTATTGAATAAAAGTTACGTATCACATGTAAACAACAAAATGTATTGTGCGAACCTTTCATGTCTAATCGACTGTATGGTATGCTTGTACAAAGCTGAGCAAAATGCAAGAAGACTGAATTTTTGACGGTCTGTTTTCAAGTGTAACGCAACAATTCCCGACCCAATGTATGAAAAATAACTAATACATAATAGTATTCGTTGTAAAGTGTTCTCTTGTCTCCGGATGTATATGAATACGATCAAACTAAAGCACTGGTTGGTACATATTGAAGATACACACATATTCGTACAATTATGTGTATATTTTGATTATATCACGATTGTGTAATTCAGTTATCTATTTCTCACCATATATAAAATAAAGTGGTATACAAAAATTACTATAACAAGTATGTACGTGTATCTGATGATATACTGC